ACTACTAGGCGGAGCCAGGGCGCGGGGATTCTCCGCGCCGCGCAGCTGCGGCTCAGCCCCGGCAAGGCCAGGAGGCCTCGAGCTCCTGCTGAGAGCTCTCCACCGTCGGTAGAGCTCCCAGCCTCGAGCGATCTTCACGCGGAACCCTACTACCGTGCGAACCCCCACCCTGCCATTCTCGCCACTGCCTGTGCAACCTCCACCCCAGCAGCCTCCCAGCAGTCTTCCCACTCAGCTTGCACTCCAGGCCATTTCCTAAGTAGTGTCCATTTCAGTTCCCTCGCCGGGCTCATCAATCTCATCAACCTTTGGAAATACTTTCATTCCATTAACCTTTGCATGAACTTGTCCTCTGCGCCCTTTAGGGGGCAGTCAGGACAGCACGCTCCCAACCAAAAAATCAAACCGTCTCTAGGGAGTCTGCTGCCCTAGTCTTCCTGGGAGCCCAGGCATGAATGGAGTGGGCCTGGGGGAGATTGGCAGCTTCTGCCTTGCCCCACAGAGATCTAAAGTTGGGGGCCAGCTGCTCAGGGGGAATGCCACCAAGTATGGGGCAGGGAGGTTGGGTGTGAGATGAGGCTGGGACCCAGCATGGCCAGGGGAGCTAAGATTGGGCATTTATGCCTCTGGAGACCTGCCTCCCACAATCGCACAAATGGGGTCTCCCCATTACCACCCTCCATTTGTTTAACTCCTTCAATATGAGGCTCCTCTTCTGGGCTCTGGAAGATTCTGATTTGGAGAAAAGTTACCCAGAAGTGGCTCCCTAACAGTTAATTGGGGGAAAAAATTGAAGTGTTTCAGTGTATACTGAGTTGCTTTTAACAAGTCACATGACCCCTCTTAGCCTATTTCATCTGTTTATAACATAGGGATACTAATACCCCCTTTCAGAGGGGTTTTAAGCAAATAGGCTTGATGCCAGTCTGTGGGCTGTTGAAAAAGTGTTGGGGCTTTTCCCCACATCTCCTCTCTGGCCCTTTGTTAGGTATAAGAAAGCCCTGTGGCCAGTACTGGCCCTGTTTCTCACTAAATGAGCAGCTGCCTACCTGCCCACCTAGGGAACTTGCTGCTGGTTAACAAGCCAAGCAAATGTTCACATTCACAAGCTTTTGCTCAAATGGCATCTGGATTCCCAAGACTGTCCCTCTCCCAATTGTCTGGACCACATAATACTCAAACACGACTGGAACGTGAAAAGAGGAGGTTTCTGAGGCAGACAGGCTCAGCTTCTTATCAGCTGTGTGATGTTGGAAGTTATTTACTCCCTAACCTTCAGTCTGTCTGCAAAATGTGGACAATAATGGTGCCTATCTCATTGGATTAAGAGAGAATACATATAAATCACTTTGCGGCGGGTGGCAGATAGGAGCTCAATAGCTGGTAGTGGTACCTAGATTATAGACAAGCTTACTCCCCATCTAACATCTGAAAACAATAAGACGTAGAAGAAAGGTATCTCTTCTGTAAAATGAAGATTGGGGGGAAAGGGTGGTGGGCACAGTAGTCTAATAACTAACTGCCTAGAATTATGGGTCACTTTCAAAGCGCCAGACACTGTGCTAAGTGTTTTACATATGACATCTCACTGAATCCTTACAGTAACCCAGGGAAATAAGTATAGTAACACTATGTGATATTACCCTCATTTTACACGTGAGGAATCTGAGGACCTTCCCAGGTAGTGACAAGGATTAAAACTCTCAGCTCCCGGCTCGGTGCCTATGGCTCAAGTGGCCAAGGCGCCAGCCACATGCACCTCAGGTGGCAGTTCGAATCCAGCCTAGGCCCACCAAACAACAATGAAGGCTGCAATCAAAATATAGCTGGTCGTTGTGGTAGGCGCCTGTAGTCCCCAGCTACTTGGGAGGTGGAGGCAGGAGAATCCTGGACTTGAGTCCAGGATCTGGAGGTTGCTGTGAGCTGTGATGCCACAGCACTCTACTCAGGGTGACAGCTTGAGGGTCTGTCTAAAAAAAAAAAAAAACCACTCTTAGCTCCCTCTACTCTCTCCTGCCTCAGTGCTGTCTTTACCATCCTTTACTATTTTCCTACAGAAAGCCTCAAGCAAGACAGTGGCTTTTAATTTCCTCTCCACAGAAGAGTTCTCCTGTGCCCTGAACTCACCCTTTCTCACCCCGCCCTACTTCCCTAGACACCCTGCCCATAAGGCTCTGTGGTCCCTGGGCTGTAAGTACAGGGACATGTTCCACATCTGTGTACTGGGACTGGCAGAAGGAAGTTAAAATCACCAGGAAGTCATGAAGAAAGGAACCCAAGGCACCCCTGTCTAAGGGCACCTTGAGCTTCCCATTCCACCCTATGTGCTGGCTGCCATCCTGGCTCCCATTTGGCCCTGATTTGGACAGGGCTGCCTAGAGCTAGGGGTTAAAGCTACGGTTTCTGATCCAGGTACCAACCCTCATCCTTTGGAAAAATGTTTTCTATGTTCCTTTAATCACTTGAAAAATCCCTGGCCATATTTAATGTACCAAATATCAGCTTTTCTTAGAAAGCTAGTAATTCTAATAAAGTGCTTTTCATCTTTCATATTTAAAACAGGATGAGAAGTTAGGATTATAAGGTGATAGTCTAACCAAACATCCTTAACTACTGACCTCTTCAGAATGACTTTTTTTTTTTTTTGAGACAGAGTCTCACTTTGTCCCCCTCAGTAGAGTGCTGTGGCATCATAGCTCATAGCAACCTCAAACTCTTGGGTTCAAGCAATTCTCTTGCCTCAGCCTCCCAAGTTGCTGGGACTACAGGTGCTCACAACACCTGGCTATTTTTTTTGTAGAGACAGTCTCACTTTATCACCCTCAGAAGAGTGCCGTGGTGTCACACAGCTCACAGCAACCTCCAACTCCCGGGCTTAGGCGATTCTCCTGCCTCAGCCTCCCGAGGAGCTGAGACAAACAGGTACCTGCCACAACGCCCAGGTAATTTCGTTGCAGTTTGGCCAGAGCCAGGTTTGAATCCACCACCTTCGGTATGTGGGGCTGGTGCCCTACCCATTGAGCCACAGGTGCCACCCAATACCTGGCTATTTTTAGAGATGAGGTCTCGCTCTGGCTCAGGCTGGTCTTGAACCTGTGAGCTCAGGCAATCCACCCACCTTGGCCTCCCAAGTGCAGGTGTGAGCCACCGTGCCCGGCTCAGAATGAGCTTATTAATGTCACTACTAGAGCCCAAATCTTGGGCTCCTAAATCCTCTGCCAGCTCCAACAAGTAACCTTGGGGAAGTGCCTTAGAGTTTCCTCATCTGTAAGATAGGGATAATGTTATTTCCTACTTCAAAGTGGTGTTGTGAAGACTCACAGAGAACACATGAAGCCCTTAGCCCACTGCTGGATACCTATTAAGCACCCAGTAGATGTCATAAATGGCAACATGTCACACTGCTATTGCCCAATCCTGGCTGGACAATAGATCATCTCTAAAAACTGCTTTTACTGTTGCTTCAGAAATCATAAAAATCTCATTAAGGTCACATTTCTGATCCCCAAATGTCACTCAGCTCAGCTGCTAGTGTACTGGAAAAAAATTCGGCTCCCTAACTTTTGGAAGTTTCCAAAAATTAAGTTAACACTCAAGGTAAAGAGATCTGTCATGATCACCAAGAATGAAGGAAATCCCAGAGGGATTCCAAGCACAGCTGGACCAACCACCACCACAGCTGACCAAGGGAGACAGAAGCCTTATCATGTGCATTCTGATGTCTCTCAAAACAAAGTTAGGTATATGTCTGTAGAGTTTGTTGTTGAGGGGGAAATCCACCAACCCAGGGAAAGTCATCTCAGCTGGCCTTACCTCCCAGACCTTGCAGCCAGGACTACAGTGTCCCATTAACAAGCTTCTGCCTTCTAGCCTAGCCAGAGCCCCTTGAGTTACTGAGGTGCCTCACCCCAGCATTTTCCCAGTCTCTCTGCCCAGTCATATTCACTCCTAAACCTTCATCCTGTCAGCTTCAATTCATTACTCTACCCTGCAGGGCTGAGAGCTGGGTTAGAAAGGCTTCTAAGGCTGGGCAAGGTGGCTCATGCCTGTAATCCTAGCACTCTGGGAGGCAGAGGTGGGTGGATTGCCTGCGTCCCCAGTTCAAGCTCACAGTCTCTATAAAATAGCTGGGCATTGTAGTGGGTGCCTGTAGTCCCAGCTACTCCAGAGGCTGAGGCAAGAGAATTGCTTGAGCCCAGGAGTTTGAGGTTGCTGTGAGCTATGATGCCACAGTATTCTACTGAGGGCAACAAAATGAGACTCTGTCATAAGAGGAAAGAAAAAGGTTTCCTAGAGTGACAGCTAAAGTCATCTGTGTTGGCCAGGTACAACAGCTCACACTTGTAATCCTAGCACTTTAGGAGGCCCAGGTGGGAGAATCACTTGAAGTTAGGATTTTGAGACCAGCCTGAACAAGAGACTTGGTCTTTACAAAAAATAGAAAAAATTGGCCTGGTATTCTGGCAGGAGGCTGTAGTTCTGGCTACTTGGGAGGCTGAGGCAGGAGGATCATATGAGCCCAAGAGTTTGAGGTTGCAGTGACCTAGATGATGCCACTACACTCTAGCCCGCATGACCAAGTGAGACTTTGTCTCAATTAAAAAGCAAAAACAAACAAACCTAAAACCTCATCTGTGTAGCCTTAACACTGAAAGTTAAAAACTAATGGCTGTTTTAGGCAAGCTCCAGAGAAGCCAAAGAACACTGATGGTTTCAATGCAGGAGTGCGTCTAGACCAGTGCACTCCGTTGCCCATGTTCAGGAACCATGGGCAAGTGGGAAAGGAATTTCAAGAGTCATAGATGTTCACTGGAGGTATAGTTAGGAGGCTGCAAAAAGGGACCCAAGTATTTCCTGCAGTTAGTATTTTACCGAATGGAGGAAGGACTCTGGGGTCCAGGAAAGGAAAAGGTGGCCTAATGATTATTTCTAGGTCCCTTGTCTGGCTGTGATCTCTCTCAGCCTCAACCATAGCATTACGAAGTAAGTATAGGCAGAACCGTGGAAAATACTGTATTTAGGTACATAGGAAAGACAGCTGCAAGCTCCTTATAAGAGGAAACTCTACCCTAAAGAAAAATCTTAGCAGCAAATTCCTATCTCCCTCAGTCCATTAGCAGTCCAGCCCAGGTTGGAAGGTTGGGCTTCTTGTCTCTGGGTACCCATCCCTGCCTTCCCACCACAGAATTTCAAATAAGGCAGGAAAAAGAACAAGGTCCAATGGGAGCTGGGTTGCCTGGTCAATACTAGAGAACAGGCATTGTCTCTCTGATGAGGGTTAAAACAGGAGTGATGCTGGGATTCTTCTTTGGGTCCTATGGCCTGCTATGTTGAGAACTGGCAGCAGGGTGGGGACTTAGTAGAGTAATCTGGAAGAAAGTCATGGTTCTTGGATGCACGCTCACATGCATGTAACAGGACACAGGTTGTGCGTTTTCCTTGTGCTTGATGCCTCCATCTGCCATCCTCTCCCTGACAGCAGCCTAATACATTATACCTACATTTCTTTCCGTGGCTATGGATGTGGAAACCAAGTGTTTCTCCAAAATGAACTGCTGTGGTTCGGCAATATGGCAAAGGTAACAGCTGTCCCAGGGAGGTAAGACAGATGATCTGAAGAGTGGTTTGCTCCAATCAGGTATCCTTGATTTTTTTCTTTTAAAAAACAATAGGCTGGTGACAGTTATGGTGGCTCAAGAGTGGCATGGTTCCAATTCTGTTATTACCCTTAAAGAGGTCACTTTCCTGACCTCCCAGATACCAAGGCTTCAGAAGATAGCTGTCATCCTGACTGCTACCTGCCTTCTTGACAGGGTCTCACTGTCTCTCCCACACCAACAGAGAATTTCACATTTCCAGGGTTCCTCTCAGATGTGGGCTGGACCTCATCTGAAGAGTCTGAGCAACCCAAGGTAACGGGGGGGCCCAAGTGCCAGCAGAGTATCCAAAGGGCCCAACTCTAAACATTGGATTTAGGGGCTGAGTTGAGGGGGATTTCCTTGAGCTCCGTCCGCATGCACAGGTACTCCCCGATGACAGCCATGAGCGCAATGCACACAGCTTGGACCAGCCACCAGGTCAGCGCCGAGGGGAAACGGGAGCTGTAGAACCAGCAGCCCAGGAGGTGAAAGAAATGGACAGTGACAGTGAAATCCAGACACTGCTTCCCTCGCCGGACGAAGTACAGCAAGCCCAGGGCACTGTGGGGAGAGGACAGCAGTGAGTTGTCACTGGATTGTCCTGGCTTTAGATTAGGTTATTTTGGGGGGGGGGGGCAATTAAGATGACAACATGGTAATCAGAAGGAAGATAAGTGAGCAAGGCTTACAGAATTCGATGCCTAGGGGAATAGGTTATATCAAGAGTGAATCAGACTGAATAGAAGGAAATAAAACTGCGAACTTGATGATAAATGGCAATTGTCACTAGGGGAGCCTAGAGATTGGTAGGCGCTGTGAAACCCTGCAGCATACATGTTCTAGCTAAAGTAGGGGCAGTACCTACTTGCATCTAGGCAGATCTTGCCATGCTACAAAGTCAGCCTGAGTTATTCTATTATTCAAGAGAAATCAGAAATCTGGATTTTTACATAAAATGGATTAAAATAGCCTGATTTTTAACTAAGTGAAAAAAAAATGTTTTAAAACACCATGTGTGGGCTGAGATCTGTGTAAGCCAAAGAAATCCTATCTGGGACAAAAATTTAGGTCAAAGTTAGCCTGCCAGTTTTTAACCCCCAGTGAAAGGTCAAGAACAATAATAATGTACAAGGCATTGTCCTAAGTACTTCTTGTAAATTAACTTAATTCTTATGAGGTATTACAAGACTCATTTTACTGATGAGAAAATTGGGGCTTAAGATACATTAACTTGTTCAAAGTCCCTAGACTGGTGGTAAAGCTGAGATTCAAAGCCAAGTGAGTCTGCCTCCAGAGCCTGAGACCATCATTATTATGCTAAATTGCCTCTTAAGAGACAGGCAACAGTCATGAGTGATCTTAGACATTAGCTGGTCCAACCCCTTGTGGACAGCTGAGGGAACTGGAGGCCTGGAGAAGACAGAAGTGACTTGGCACACGAACCAAGAATAGAACCGAGTTCCCCTGACTCTCAGTCTGATCCTTTCCTCACCTCACTTCACATCAGGGAAATGATCTGAGGTGGAAGCTGTCTTGCAGGCAGCACATCCATAGCGACGTACAAGTTTTCCAGACAAGTTGAAATACCAATGGCAAGAGCCCCATGATAGAGCTAATTCCAGTATTATCCTCCGCCACTCACTTTAGTCTACCACTCCCCAGGAACAATTACCAGTTTGTCTCATGTCCAAATTTAGGAAACTAGCCCCAGTGCAAAGTCCCCAAAAGGTGGACAGCAAAACTGATGATACTTACCAGGTAAGGGCGTTGAGGACAAAGGACATCATGGAGAGCCGGCCTGGAGGGGTGGAAAAGCCCAGGATCTGAAGGGGAATCACAAATGGAAATATGCTAGAGAAGGGACCTGACACAGAGCCCCATTGGGCTCCAGGATCCCAGCAGCCCTCCTAAGGAACAAGCATTCTTCCCACAGCACAAAACATAATACCTCCCTTCATCTGTAGGGCAGCCTATTCCCAACAAGATGCTTTCACAGACATCCATTATGGTATTTCATTTGATCCTCACAGTAGGGGAAAAAGGATTATTATTCTCATTTTACAAAGGAAGACATAAAAGCTCCCAAAAGTTAATTTGCCCTAAGCGATACAGTAAATAAATGGCAAGATTAAGGTCTAGAACGTAGTTCTGCAAACTATAGCTCTACAGGCCAAGCACCTGCTTTTATAAATAAAGTTTTATTGAAACAAAACTACATCCATTCACATATTTGACTATGGTTACTTCTGTGGTATAATGGTAGAGATGAGTAGTTGTGGCCTAAAATCTTTACTACCTCACCCTTTAAGATCTGCTGACTCTTGGTCTAGAACTTAGGCTGTGTGCATCAGATAGCTCTTCAACAAGGCCCAGGATTCCCACATGCCCTTCCCAGGAGGACAGAGGCTCCTAAGAGACTACTACTGGGCACCTGGTGAGTGTACAACCTCTACTATCCAGCACAATACTACTGGATGCCAGATATGTCTACAACACTTTCAGCTTACAAGGAAAGGCCTTTGACATCTATAATTTTTCTCTTTCTTTCTTTTTTTTTAAATTAAATTTGGTCTCAAACTTCTGGGCTCTAGAGATATTCTCCGGTGGGGATAGACATCCTCCGACCTCAGCCTCTTGAGTTGCTGGGATTATAAACGTGAACCTGGTGCCTGGTGATATCTATAATCTCACATTACCCTTACAACACCTCTTAAAGGCATTATAATTATTATTATTCTTTGTATTCTTTCCTCTTTGGGGATAATAATTCGCTGAAGCACTACTCAGAGAATAAGCAGCAGGAGCAAGAACTCTACCCTAAGTCTACTGGCTCATTATCATACACCACAGCTGCCTCTCAGCTGCAACAACTTACAAGCTTCCATTACACTTTATTTATTTATTTATTTGTAGAGACAGAGTCTCACTTTAATGCCCTCGGTAGAGTGCCATGACATCACAGCTTACAGCAACCTCCAACTCCTGGGCTTAGGCGATTCTCTTGCCTCAGCCTCCCAAGTAGCTGGGACTACAGATGCCCGCCACAACACCCACCTATTGTTTTGTTGCAGTTTGGCCAGGGCTGGGTTTGAACCCGCCACCCTCGCTATATGGGGCCAGTGCCCAACCCACTGAGCCACAGGCGCTTCCCCCCCATTACACTTTATAAAGCACTTTCTTATTCCTAGGCCCAACTGGCCCTCATAACATTTTGTTGATAGTGACATGGCAGGAGCAGTCTGTCAACTTTACAGAAGAGACAAGGCTTAGAAAGGTAAAGCTTCTTGTCCAAGGTCCCACAGATCATATGTTTGAGCCTAGATTAGACCTTAAGCCTTTGTGACTCCAAAGCACAGGCTCTTTGTACTGGGTCCACGACTTCTCTGCTACCAGTCACATGATTTTGCAGACAGGAAAGTAAGTTCAGAGGGGTGACACATTTTCCCCAGGTCACACAACTCGTACGTGGAACAACTAAAGGGATGACTGGCTTATCACAAAGTCCAGGCAGTTTACAACGCATGTACCCCATGAATGCTGTTTATTCACCTCTCTCCCCATTGTGGCACCTGAAAATTTGGGTTCAAAGAAATGAAGTCACTTTCCCAGAGTCTCAGAAAAAGAGATGTATCAGAGTTGCCTCGAACACAGTCCTGTTTATTGGAACATCCACGTGCTTTCCTTTGCACTAACCTGCCCTTCTGTTATCAGTCATCCCATTTTATGGATGGGACAGCTGGGGCTCAGAAAGGTGAAATCCCTTTTCCACGTCCAAAAAGCAATAAGGTGGCCCAGTCAGGTCTAGAGTTCAGTCATGTAAGACCACAATGCCTGTTCGGGGAAACCAAGACCCCACTTGCGCCAGCAGGGAGAACCTACCTCCGCATCGAACATCTGGTCCAGCGAGGGGCTGCTTCGCACTAGCCCGTCCACTAGCGCCAGCCACAGGCCCAACGAGCCGTAATAGACGGCTTGCATGAGGACGATCTGTGACAGGATCAGCAACGGGTCCCACACGTAGCTGCGGAATTGGCCCGCCATCCCCTGCAGGGATACACGCCGGGCCTCAGCCAGCGGTCCGTCGCCATGACAACGTCGCCCAGCCAGAGAAGAGGGACCGGAACCAAGGAGGCTAGCCCATTCCAGGAGCCGGGGGTGGGGGTGGGAGGGGCGGACAGACCCATTCCCGGAGTGAGGGGAAATCCTGCCCAGTACGGCTGCCCGGCCCCCACCCCTACACAAGTTCCTCTGAGGTCCACTCACCAGTGACAGACTAGAGGCTCGAAGAGTCCGAGCGTGGTCTGGCCTCACCTGCTGGTTCCCGAAACAGTGTTGACAGGACCATGGAGGAGAGGCCCTGCTGGCCTAGAGAGGCAGGGATCCAACGACCTCAGCTGTGGGCACAGGCCGCGGAGGAAGGAAGAGTTTCCGGGGACGGTGGCCGAGAGGCGTGGCTGGCATAGCGCAGGCGTAATGGGTACAACCACCTACACGGGATACAGGCAGCCAGGAAGGAAACCATGCACATGCGCAGAATGAAGAGTGAAGGATAACGGAAGTGAGGCACAAACGCCTCAATGGTTTGCGCGCCCTCTAGAGGGGAATTTTGGGGAAAAAAAAAAGGAGGGCGGCAGGCGGAGAGGGAAGGAGCGGCTTAGCCATGGAAACAAATGTTTGGCAGTTAACCAGGTGCTAAACGTTGACTCTATTTTCAGCCTATATTCCAACTTTTTTCCTTATAGTTAAAATCTGTGATTCCTTAACATGAACCTGTAAGCTCTCCCACATGTGATTTTGCCGCTGTTCCCGTTATGGAGACCGCTAAAGGATGAGCCAGAGAAGGAAAGCAACATAATGTCTGAAAGACACCAGAGTTAGTGGCAAAGTAAGGATTCGAATTCTAGTGTTTCGGCTCGGCGCCTGTGGCTCAAGTGGCTAAGGGGCCATCCACAGACACCTAAGTTGGCGGGTTCGAATCCAGCCCGGGCCAGCCAAACAACAATGATGGCTGCAACAAAAACAACAAAAAATATAGCCAGGCGTTGTGGCGGGCGCCTGTGGTCCGAGCTACTTGGGAGGCGGAGGCTTGAGCCCAGGAGTTGGAGGTTGCTGTGAGTTGATGCCACCGCACTCTACCCAGGGCGACAGCTTGAGGCTCTGTCTAAAAAACAAACAAAAAAAAATTCTAGTGTTTTCAACACTACATTGATTTCGCGCCTGCTGGGTGTCAGCCAGATTAGGAAACGTATGAATGAGGCAGCCCTTTCCCTCAGACACAGCCTAATTATATTAGAAGGCAGAGTAGTGGGGGTTCTAAAACGCAGCCATCTAATGGGAAAAAGCACAGGTTCTGACAGCCTACGTGAGCGCAAATCCGGACCCCCCTCCTGCTGCCATGACTGTTTTTTCTCTGTCTTCTCCTTGGAGTTCCAATAGTGACCAGTCAGTAAATTTTATTGAATGAGTCAAGAACAGAGAAAGAGTAAAAGCAAATTGATGACTCACTTTATTCCTTCTCCAGTAAACCCCAAACCTTCATTGATGGTATGTTCTGCCCATCTGCATTGGAAAGAAAGGAAGTTAGCTGGTTCCAGGAAAAGAATCTGAGTTTCAGAGCCAGCTCTGCAGCTTACTAGCTGTGTGACAGCAAGCCACTTCCCCTCTTCATGAAACAGGATTAACGTTTTCTAACATTTACCTCCATTAATTATTTTCCCATTTAAAATATATTTTTTTCAGCTCAGCGCCTGTGGCTCAAGTGGCTAAGGCGCCAGCCACATACACCTAAGGTGGCGGGTTTGAATCCAGCCTGGACCCGCCAAACAACAATGACGGCTGCAACCAAAAAATAGCCGGGTGTTATGGCAGGCGCCTGTGGTCCCAGCTACTTGGGAGGCTGAGGCAGGAGACTTGCTTGAGTCCCAGGAGTTGGAGGTTGCTGTGAGCTGTGAAGCCACAGCACTCTACCCAGGGGGACAGCTTGAGGCTACAGTTCAAAGACCTGTAACTGCCAATCAGAATTTCTGAATAGCATGTGACAGCCATGTTATCACTTTGAGTTAATACGATTCCAGACAAAAGTAAAGAAACTTGAGACTTTATCTAGAGTAAGTATGCAATCTCTCTTATCATTTGGAAATACTGTAAACAGTTCACTTGGACTCTGAAAGTATGGGAGTTACTAAGGCCCAGAGATTTCTAAGGTACTTTCCAGCTCAACCATTTTTTTAGGCACCTCGATTAGGTTCAACAAATACATATATATATAATCAGATTCCTCTGGTCCACTGATTAGTCATGGGATCTAGTGTTTCTGAGAAAATTCTGATTTTTTTTTTTTTTTTTTACTGTTTTTGGCCAGGGCTGGTTTGAACCCACCACCTCTGGCATATGAGATTAGCGCCCTACCCTTTTGAACCACAGGCGCTGCCCAGAAAAATTCTGATTCTGAAGTGCCTACGTGATCTCGTTTTGTCTTCACAGTTGGAAAATGTCGATATTATCCCCCCTTTTATAGGTGAGATGCAGAGGGGGCCAGGTCAGTGAGCTCACAGAGAGCTGATCTAACTTTTTCAAACCCAGGACTTCTGACTCCAAATATCAAGATGCCATTCCAGAATAAAGAAAAGGAAGGGAGGAAGGAAAACAGTAAACTAGTCAGGTGGTGAGCAGCTGGAAGTGGAAAAGGAGCAGTGAATCTCTGCTCCAGTAACTCTGGGGTGAAGAATTTGGGAGAAGTGGAGGGAAAGGCTTAGGAAAAGTGCCAGAGAGGTTTGACTAATTCCCAAAGGCAGCTCTTCCTTCCAGGTGCTGGAATGCAGCTCTTCTTGGAGTCTGGGGGGTGGGGCCCTCATAGTCACAGCTAGGCCTACTCCACCCTATTTCCTCCACACAGGAAAGGTCCTATTCATTCTTCCGAAATGGAAAACAAAGGTAGGCTGTGACATTAGGACTGGCTGGATAGCTGGTGTCTGATGTCATTCAACCAGACGTCATTCATCCCCAGGGCCTAGAGTTTGCCTTGGGGAAAACCCCACTGGGCCTGCAAAATAGCCTCCTGCCTTTTCCTTTTGCCTTGGGGAGTTCAGTTCTTGGATTCCCACCTTGCGAAAACCTGAAAATGAACATCATTGTGTCTCTTAATTTGGATTCAACAGGGAAACCAAGACCTAGGGCAAATCATGGCAACTCCCTTGTTTAGCCTTCTCGGCCACAGGCAGCCTGCTTCAGACCATTCGACCCGAACTAGAGCCCCACTGACTTGCTATGTGATCTTGGACAAGTTCCTTTTGCTGGGTCCTATTATCCTAAACTACTAAAGGAAAGGGACACTGGACTCTGACTTGCAAGCAGTGCATGGCCCTGTGCCATCTGAAATGCCTGAGGAACATGTTACAGATTCAGATTCATAGGCCTTGTGGCAAACCTAAGTTTAAATCTCCAAAAGCAGAGTGCAGAAACCTTTATGTTTAAAGAGCTCCCGGCATGATTCAGAGGGGTAGCTACATTGGGTAACTACAGAGCAAGGCCATCTGTCCTTGACCCCTTACCCAACTCCTTTGTTTAACAGAAAACTGCTCTGTGACCTTGGCATCCATGGCACTCATCAAGCTTCAAGTTTTTTTCCATCTGTAATATGAGGGGGTTGAACTAGAATAGCTGGTCTCCCAGGGCCCTTCCCACTCTGCCAAGTCTGTGGTTCTAAACTTATGAATGAAATTTTAAACTTTAGGTCAGAGGCAGAGTGATGAACAGCCACAAGCTGGGACAAACTGTCCTCTGGGTGAAGGGAAGGGAAGTGTCTCTGGTCATTTGGTTACTTACGTCATTCCCTCACTGGGGCTCCACTGTGGGCATCTAAGGACAGATCCTACCGGGATTATTTTCTGGATCCACCCCCATAAATCCCTTGGGAAGTTTTCCCATAGGTCCATAGGGTGTGGAGCCCTGCTTAGATTCTAATCCTGGCTGTACTACTGCGGTCTTACTGGGTGACCTTGGAGATACTTCATCTTTCTAAGTTGTAGTTGATTTTCTTTCTTTCTTTTTTTTTTTTTGAGTTGGAGTCTTACTCTGTTGCCCAGGGTAGAGTGCCATAGAGTGCTGTGGCATCAGCCTAGCTCACAGCAACGTCAAACTCCTGGGTTCAAGTGATCAAGTAATCCTTCTGCCTCAGCTTCCCACTGTAAGTGCCCGCCATAATACCCAGCTAATATTCTATTTTTAGTAGAAATGGGGTCTTGCTCTTGCTCAGGCTGGTCTCCAACTTCTGAGCTCAAGCAATCCACCCACCTCAGCCTCCCAGAGTGCTGAGAGAACAGGCATGAGCCATTGCAACTGGCCTCAGTTGGTTTCCTCTTAACTATAAAATTGAAATTGAAATTAGAAGAGTACCCATGTCATGGGCCTGTCCTAAAGACTAAATGTGTGCTTAGCCCACTGCCTGATGCGCAATCAGCACTATGTTTTCTTTTCTTTTTTTATAGTCAGCGCTATGTAAACCTTAGCAATATTAATGATTGTTATTATTTCTTCCTTTGGAATGTGGGAGTGGAAATACCTTGATTTCTCAGATGTATGGCAAGGATCTAACTAGGTATCAGACATAGCCAGCTCAGTTCCCGGTACTAAGTAGGAGCTGTATAATAAATGTAGTGTTGGGCCTGGCATGGTGGCTCATGCCTATAATCCTAGCACTCTGGGAGGCCAAGGAAGGTGGATTGCTTGAGCTCAGGAGTTGGAAAGCAGCCTGAGCAAGAGTGAAACCAAGACCCCATTTCTAAAAATAGCCGGGCATTGTGGCAGGTGCCTGTAGTCCCAGCTACTCAGGAGGCTGAGACAAAAGGGAGACTGCTTGAGCTCAGGAGTTTGAGGTTGCTGTGTGTTGTGACGCCGTGGCACTCTATGCAAGGTGACAGAGTAAGACTCTGTCTCAAAATAAATAAATGAGTAAATAAATGAAGTACCTTCTCTTCCTGCTCTCACCTTCACTCCCAAGATTCCCCAGGCCCCTCCCTCCCTCTTCTTCCCCTAGGCTGCCCTACTGCCCTGCTCACAAGTTCCCTTTCTGGGAATATTTGATGAGGACACTTCAGCGGAGACACGTGCCTTAGAGACAGGTTATGCAACTCTACTGCTCACACTTTTTGGAAACTCCCTGTGGGAGGTTAGCAGTTGGCAGCCTCTGTCCATCCTGTGCTCTGGCCAGCAAGTTTTTCTCTTAGAAAGGAAACCGAAGGGAGAACTCATTGGCTGCCTGTTTTCTCCACCAGGCTGAGAGCACTTGTTACCCAGACTGCTTTAAGTTAAGCGTGCGTCTATGTTTGGGGAGGCACATATGCTGAGCACCTATTGTGTGCCAGACACTCATATTATCTCATTTAATCTTGATTTAATTTCTCGAACAAGTCTGTGAGTTGTAGATACTATTAACCCCTTGAACATGGGGGAACCTAAGGTCAGAGAAGGGACACATA